ACTGATGCCCAGGCAACTAGTCAGTGACTCACCCAGTCACTAATCAAAGTCCCCTAAATAAGGGACCTCATGTGAACTGTATTTTACACCAAGGCCCATCCTAAAGATCACATATTTTGTGCCCCTTAGAGCTTTTTGGCATTAGTTTTGAATTTAAAAAAATTTTTTTATCTTAAGGACTATGTTTTTTGACCCCTACCTTAAATTCTGTGCCCGAGGCAAGGCATCCCTGACCTCACCCAAGTCTTGGCTCTGAATAAAAACCATGACTGAGCCAACTGTTGAAGGGGTCGGGTAGGGTGACAGAAAGTAGGGAGGAATCGTCCGTTCCTGCTGGCTGATAAAAAACAAAGGCTAATCTTGAGCCTCAAAATCTGTGTTCTCAATACACAGGGAGCTTTATCTCTTCAGTGAGGCTCGTGAAGGGCAGGCCTAGCTAATGAAGTCAAGTTGGGGACCACTCCAATCTTGATGACAGCTAGTCCCTTTGTATTACAAGGTAATTAACACCTGATGGAGCTTAGCTCTAAGTGAAAGTACTCCAGCTACGTCTTTTCCCATTCTGAGACTTGGGCTTGGGGGCAAAAAAAATAAAAAATCTCAAAGTGAGAAACTACAGACAGAAAACACACGTGGTTAAAGAGCAGGAAGAAAGGTAAGACTTGCAGACAAACAGTAAGAGTCACATCTAAGGGATTAACCTGCAGGTGAACCCCTAACAGTTCCACCTAAGCACTTTAAAAACACTACCAGAGGACAATTTATTTTTTAAGGGAAACTTTAAAGCACACATCAAAACTGTGAAAGCGGTTTCACTCCGAAATTTACGTGGTTTGAGATACTGCGCTGGCTGAAACATCACATGGGCCTTGGTTATGTTAAGCTCTCATCTGTTTCTCTTTCCCCTCTCCTTCCCCACCTTACAACCAGCACTGCAGAATACGTCTTTCCTTCCACAGCTAGTCCTTTCATTTATTTTTGAATTCTTGGCCGCCCTGGAGAGCCCCGAGTGCTCACTCTGCCCGCTCTTCAGAAGAATAGAGGCACAGAGAGACAAAGTGACTGATCACACTCACTGTGCCCTGGGCCTCAACTAGGAGTCCTGACAACAGTTCCCAATTTTCTTTTGTTCTTAGACATATTTTAACCTTGTAGATAGTAGTGCTCAGTTGGCTACGACTTTCTATCTACCCATGGCTGTTACCTCCATAGGCCAGTCAGTACTGCCAATTTTCATGAATTCTTAGAACACACATCTAGCCCTGACATGATTGTGTATCATGAAGTTGTTAGCACAGAGAGAGGGAGCAGGAGAGACATGCAGCCAGGCCGACTGGGTTACCACACACGGCCCCAAAGCTGATTCTACCACTGGCCTCATCCTGGCAGGGGGCTGGGTAAAGTAAAGCAGCACTGAATTCTAGGGACTAGGTGACCCTAACTCCAGCTTCAGCAGAAACTTGGCCTTGACAAATCCCGGACTCTGAACACGTGCCCACAGCCACAGGCAGAGCAAAACACCTACTCTATCTACCTGTTAAGCGCTGTACAAATTCATGCCACAAAAGACAACTTAAGTCATGGCTTCATCAGCATCCTGAGGAGATACACAAGTGGAATAAATAAGGCTTCTGTACGTATTTACAGCGCATCTTGTTCCAAAAATATCAAATGAGGTCATACCACACCACATGACAGAAAACAAAACCTGAAAGATCACACTGCCAAACACACCAGGCACAGCCCTCAAAACAACCAGACTCACGTTCACCTGCTGTTTTGTAACGCACCCTAATGCTCTGGTGGCATCAGAACTTCCTTGAGTTTCATGAGCTGTCTCTACCTCTCCTGGAGAGATATACCTAGAGTTTGGTATCTGAATGTCACACATTAATAATGTGTGGAGAGAGATGGACAGGCAGAGATCTAGAAAATACTGAAATAAAAACAAAGAAAAACAAAGACACCACTGTTCTGTTTTGTTTTTAAGATTTTATTTATTTATTTATTTTGAGAGAGTCTGCGTGCATGTGTGGGGGAGGGGCAAAGGGAGAGAGAGAATCTCAAGTAGACTCCCCACTGAGCAAGGAGCCCGAAGACAGGAGCTCAATCCCAGGATGCTGATACCATGGCCTAAACCAAAACCAAGAGTTGGACACTTAACCAACTGAGTCACCCAGGCACCCCTACCCCACCCCCCCCCAAATCCTATCTCAGTGCTACAGTAAAAAAATTTAAGTACCCATTACCATCCGTAGTACACAGACTTTTCAGTAACCAGCCACATATGGGAGCAGAGAAAGTGAGGGGAAGGCTTATCAGGAAGTGTTGACACAACATAAACATGGACTGTGGGCACCAAACCAAGTAAGGAAACCACAATTATACCATTCTTGATTTGGACGTGCTTCCACTTTAAAATTTCCAGACGGAAAAGTCAGTGGTGAGATGTGACACTGAAAATCTCTACAACTCCCTCCTTCCACAAACCCACTGAAAGGTGGGGACAGGGAGTGGTCATCACACTGCAGACAAATCTTAACAACATTAAAGCTCTCTCCATGGAAAGTCTCCCCATCGCTGCATTTTTTTTCAGTAACAAAGATGTTGTCAGAAATGACAATTTTTTGTGTCCCCTGATGATGCCTTGCTAGCATTCGGTTATAAGCCATAAAGCAGGACTAATTTCAGCCTGTCAGGAGTCTCGCTAATGCCCAGTTTCCCCCCAGAGAGAATTCCTGTCAAATCTAATGAGAGCTCCAAAGGCCCTCTCTACAATATAATGAGCACTTAGGCCATGCTGGTGATCAGGCGGCAAAAAGCATCAATTTGAGCCTGGCTACACCCTGGGGGCCAGACGTCACCAGTTTTAATAAGAATTATGATTACTAGCTGCACCAAATGCCTCCTCAGAACTTATTATTAATGTGTGACGTTCAGAAGGATGTTTTTCAAATGTAAGGCCACTTTAAACTGAATTACAGCACTGCTTTGCACACCACTCTAGTTAAGGGTCTGTCAGCATTTACAATATAAACTAAATTTCAGGGGGCTTAATACCCTACTATGAAGAACATGGCATCTCTGAGCTTTTCACATTTTTCAAATTACTGAGCCAATTATACACAGCATATTATTAATGCATACTGGCTCATGGATGGACAATATTACCCACAAAAGCCCAAGAGCGTATAGAAACTCATTAGAAACCTATTTTCTCACCATGGGGCTCCTGACCCTCTTCGCCCCTTCTTCCCTTTTCCTACTCGATGAAGAGGTCATGTAACCATGTAACCTACAGGAACCCAGAAGAATTACACACCTCCTTTACCTCCCCAATAAATCCTGTACCATCACACAGCATCACACAGAGGTGGTGTTTCCTTGTAAGAGTTGAAATTATTAAATCCTTTGAGTTTATAACTTTAAGAAAAAGCTCAGTCTCCTCTTACCCTTCTAGACTCCTTGTTAACAAAAAATATGCCTTTGGGGTAACTTAAAAAAAAATGTGACAGGTTACAACCCCTTCACCCAGTTTATTTGCATAATTCATTTAAATAACCAGAGATCTTCTGGCCCTGGTACTATCAACAAGTTACAACTGCCTCCATCAGGCACTAGCCATTGAAACACACAAAAAAACAAAGGCACAAGCCAATGTAATCTAGGCTACCAATTTTGCAAATCGGAATAAAATCAGCATTTTTAAAGGCCCAATTATATTATTAATGAAAGGCCTTGAACCTAACTGTCCCTTTCCAAACACGTATCTGAGAACGGATCTAATGTACATGACTTAACATTATGAAATCTATGATGAATTAAAAATCAAAGAGTGTGGAGTTACAAAAGCAGAATTCAACTCTGAAACACACTTGCTTAATGAAAGTCTTTGAATATAAGGAAGATCTGAAGGCTGAACTAATCAATTTCTCCACTGTGCCCCAGCTGGTCAGCCATGCTCTTTAATTTAATGAAACAAGGGTTTGAGATGAAATAGCACATATACATCAAGTAAGAATTGTATTGTTGCACTTTGAAATGTGTCCAACTGTGCAACTTCATCTGATGATAATTTTTTAAGAGGCAATCGATTTCTAAAAGACTTATTGTACCAGCGTCTTGATGAAAAAGTGAATGTCAGCATATCTCCAGAATACTTACACCCTGCCATTAATGCTTTCTTTGGCAGACAATGACTACTCAATCGAGGGTCCTTTGGGCTGAGCAATCATTTAGCTTTTCTTCTCTTACGAGGTCCTTAGTGCCTTGTTCCAGCTCAATACTCTTTTTATACACCATTATAGTAGCCATAAGTGTGAATTTTATGGGAACTTGCAAACTCATAGTCATAGCTAGAGCTTTCCAGTCACTAATCTTTTCATGCTTTTAAAACCACTAGGACTGAAGCAACTCGCAACATATGCCGTGCCCATAAAAGAATGCTTTTTTACCTCCAAATCTACATCAACTGAGAAATCTTCCAAAACGATGTTTGCTAATAAGCCACTAATCCTGAGTGTCACTTTATGCAACCCCAAAGCATGAAGAGAACCCCACAGTTAGTCATACATGACGTTTAACCTGCTAAAGGAACTCCTGAATATCCTCCTTTCCCTGCAGAACCACACTGCTGTCCAAACCAGGAAAAACACCAAGCTTTTCTGAATTGCAGAACCCTATGGGATACCCAAATCTTTCAAGAGGAGAATAAATCTACCCAGGTGGAAAAGTCAACTTAGAGACTCAATTGCTATCAGCCTAGAAACAGGTTGGTTCACATTTCCAAAGCACCTCTTTTCTAGTCATTTAAAGATTCTGTAATTGTCAAGAAGCGACCCTTCAGCAAAATACTACCACCAACTCACAGGAAGGGAAACCAAGGCAAGAAAATGGCATACAAATCCCCGCCCACCCCCAACCAACTGAGGACAAAGCCAATTCTATGGAATCATGATGACTGATTTCTCATTTCAACTGGAGATTTAACTAAAGCTTACCTGTTTATGCATTTCTATGTTTAATCCATACGACATTTCATAATACTGAAAAAAAAAGAATCAAGCATTTCATTAACTCACGTTTTGCAATATTAGGAACACATATTTGCTAATCTTACATAAAAAGACGAAAAGTCTAATCTCTGATACCTACCATCACATAGTGCCTCTGCATTTCTGTCTTTTCACTTGCCAGTTTCTCGCATTCCAATTTAAGGCTACAAAAACAAAACAGGCAACTTAATGTAAACATTATGTCACTTGTTTTAACATCTGCCTCACATATTTGCACTTCAAGTAAAAACACAGACCAATTTAGAAAAGCCATAAACTATCTAGGTAAACATGCAAAAGCTTTGTCCTTGCATTTAATAGGGAAAGGGGGTCAGGTGACCAGTACAGGGTCTCCATTACCTACTATTCTTTCTTCTTGGTGCATACCTGGTCAGGTGCCAAGAATGAAAAATCTGTCAAAACCTCTGATCTACGCAGAAGACTGATTTCTCCTCCTGCTCATCTGTTCACTCCTACTTCCCTGCACCAGTCTGGTCCCTTGGACTCCACTAAAATCTGGTTTTGGCACAATTTCCAGCATCAGACAGAGGCTGTCCCATCTCTGCCAACTCAATCTCTAGGTTTGAAAACTATACTTGTAAAGTTACTTCTACAATTGTTGGTCCCTTTTAAAATCTTCAGTTTTTAAATCCCTGCCAAAATATGTGAAGTAGCTACCGCAATAAAGTGGGTTGAAGTCCTCTCTGCTTGGTAAACACAGTGTGGGCAGGTATGCCTCAAGTTCCAGAGATTATTCTCTTCAAGCAGACAAAAGTTCAATAATCACAAAAACCTCTGACAAAATAAGAAAATTCACACCCAAGCATCTGTGTGCTTGTTCTCAAGCATGACAAAAATAAAAACTGTCATTACACAGTTATTTCTTAGCTCTAATCAGGGAAGCCTTCATAGGAATAAGGGAAGTAACTAACATTTCTGGAAAATCCACTATGGACAGGATGCTTTACAACACTCTTTATTTACAAACCTTTTGAAGTAGGTCTCATTAGATGAAGGGACCAAACCAGGATGTATATAAAGGAGACTCCAGTCCCCTGTCCTGCCCAACCCAGAGCCACGCCAAAGCAGTGGAGCTTCCCCTACACCTATCCACATCCCTCTTCACCACCAATGATGAGCACAGCTAACAGCATCGAGCCTTCCATAATGGACTTTGCCTCAGACAACACAATCCTCTAGTACGGCAAAGCGATTTCAACACTGGCTCTGCCTCCCTAAACCTGCACTCCAGGGCTGGGGCATCGACTGAACCAAGGTTTCAGCTCAGCCTGTTGCAAAATAAATAAACGAAGTGCAAATATTGACGGTTCTCATGCAACTCCTAAATACTCAAAAGAAAAAGAAAAGAAAAGAAAAAAAAAAGGACTCCCTAGAACAGCAGCAAACGGGCAAAAGGGAAACAATGGTAGGAGGAGGAGACTACAGCAGAGCTGGCCCGGGAAGAACCTGGAAAGGGGGTAACATGAATGACAGGTCTTAACTGCGACTCCACACGCCACCGCCTGGACGCAAGTACTAAGTACAGCCGCCACAGCCACCAGGCTGGGCGAGGAGGGGCCGGGGCTGCCCCCGGGCTACCACTCGCCCCACGCGGCAGGACACGCACCTGTGATATTGGGCCTGCAGGAACTGGAATTCCTCTTTAATCCGGTCCAGGGACTCCGGGATAGTGAATTTGAAGGGCTGGCCTGCAGCCTGGTGCGGCGTCTGGGGGCGACCGGCGAGGGGAACCGAGGGACGGGGATGCAGGTAGATAGATAAAACAGGAAGTCAGAGGACGAAGAAGTGGGTGGGACATAAACAAAAAATAAACAAAATAAAGTTAATAAACAAAAAAAAGTTAGAAGTGGCGGAAAACGGAGCCCTGAACTCGAGTTTGCTCTGCACTTTATGCGGGGAGAAAGCGGCCCCTGGCCGGGTCTGGAGCCTCTAAAGAGACTCCGTGCCTTCTCCGTGCTCCCGGGTCACAGGCTGGAGGGACAGGGGATCCCCGGCGGCAGGGGAAGACCAGGCCAAATTGTCGTCGTAGCCACCGCGCCCTCCCCACCAGGGCGATAATGACCCGGGGGATCAGAGAAGAAAAACAACTCCCTAACGCTCCGCGTTCCCAGAGTCGCCAGGGCCACCTCCAGGCGCGCCGGAACGGGGGCCGCATTGACATGTAAATAGGCGAGACGGGAAACAAAGGGGGGGCGCCCTACACGTCTCCGGGGGGGGGGGGGGGGTGAGGAGGAGGGGAAGGGGGTAAGCTGTTGCTACTGGAAAGAAACCCCAGCCTCCCCGGGCGCCCCCGCCCGCCTTGTCTAGACGTCAATTCGGAGGGGGCCCAGAGTAAAGGGGAAAAATTGAGTTTCAGTTCACTGCCCACCCCGGGAGGGAGGGTGTGGGACCTCCCCAGCCCTGCATCCCTAGAGATTGGGGGGAGGGGTCCTCCACAAGGTAGAAGACACCCGTCTCCCTACAGCACAGGGAGAGCGCCTATCCCCACCCCACCCCCAACCCACTCCTCTGCCCCTCCACCCAGCACCCTGACGCGCCTCACCGGGTGCCGGCTCTGCGGGAACATCGCTCTGGCGGCGGCCGTAGCTCTGTTTCTGGCTAACTCAATTCTCCGCTCAATTTCCAACTTTAATCCCGCCGAGGAAAATTAAGCTGAGAAGCCAGGCAGAAACCGGGAGCGCTGGCAGCTCGCTGGCCACGCACGCAAGCGCGCTCGGCGGGGCGCACCGGCCACTCGGTGCCCGGCTGCTCCTGCTCCCGCCGGTGCGGGTTCCTTCGCTCAGGGCCACATCGCGGGGCACCCGGGGCCCAGCTGCACCAAAACCTGCGCGGTGACGCCGGCGCCCAAGAAGAGGGCGCGGGGGCTGTGATCCAACCCGCGGGCCTCCGCTGCCCCAGCGGGGAGGTGAGCGCGCGGTGACTCCGGCCGCGCTCCCCTCGGCGATCCCTTTACGCGGCACCCGTCCCGAGCAAACAAATCCAGGCAAGCTGCTTTCCTTCGTTCTTCTCCCGGTCCGCCTCCTCTCCGGGTTTTCCCCGCGGCGAGGTGCAGGTGGCCCGGCGCCCCCAGCTAACCCCACACAAACAAACCTGGAGACGTTCGGGACCGAGTGCTGCGGGTCAGGGCAGCGCCTTCGGCCAGGCGCTCGTGGGTTGCCGGGAGGCGGTGAGGAGCGAGGTCCGGGCGGCGGAGGTTCCGCGCCTGGCGCTCCGCAGCCTCAGCCCGGGCGGAGGAGCGCGGGATGACGACGAGGCGAGGAAAGTGCGGAGGGCGCGCCGGGAGGCGGCTCGGCACGCCCCGTGCGACCGACGTTCGGTGTTCTCCGCGGTTGCACAAACCCTCCTAGCCCGGCGGGGCTACACCAAGAAGGGCAGTCCCGCAGCCGCCCGCTGCTCCTCGAGCCCGGGGCGCATCCGGGCGCCGCGCCCCGCGCGCACCCGCCCCGCACGGCCCGCCCGGCCGCTCCGGACTCTTCCTCCAAGCCCCTTCCTGGGCCCTCTTTCTTTCCTTCCCTTCGTCTGCCTCTCCGCAAAGGGCGCTCCAGCCCGCTGCAAAGTTCTCTCACGACCCGGGGGGCGACATCCACGAGATGGGGCGGGAGGGGGGGGAGGAGGAAGCAGGAGTGCGCTCCGCCGCTCGGCCTCCCTACCCGGCGGGCAAACTCCGCGGACAGGTCGGGAGTAGTCGCGGCGGGGGTTAAGTCGCCGCGGGCCGGCGGAGGTCCGGTCTGGTGGCACGGGTCCCGCCCGGACGTGAGAGGGTGGGGGTGGCGCAGTCGGCTGCTTCGGGGACGCGGGGCACAGGGTACTCGCCGCTGCTGCTGCTCCTGCAGCCGCCGCTCCCGCCGCCGCCGCCCGCGCCTCTCGCGCCGGTTACATTAACACGCGGTTTCACACTCCGGAGCTAACCAGCGCGGGCCCCGCCCAGCCCCGCGCGGGCGGGGGGCGGGAGCGCAGAGCGGGCGGGGGACCTGGGTCCGGGCGATAGCGGGAGGGAAGCGGGGAAGAGTGCGCCAGCCAATCGCGTGCGCCGTGCCCAACGTGGGTTTCTGACGCAACGCCTCCCCGAAGCCTATAGCAGCGCGGCACTGGACGGGCCGTCCTCCCCCTTCTCTCCCACCCCACTCGCTTCCATCTCCGCCGTCTCCCCGGTCTCTCCTCCCACCCCCCCACCCCTCCTCCGCCAGCCGCGTCCTCCCGGGCTCGGTGAGGAACTGTTCCTGGAGGAGCCGCGGAACGCCGAAACCAGCCAATGGGAAGAGGCGAGACGCGGAGATTGGCACGGTGGATGGGAAGGTCGGTGGGAAGGAGAGGCGGCGGGGCCGGGCTGTCAGTCAAAGTAACGTGGGGCTGGAGAGGGTGCGCGCGGGCGCGCGCGAGCGGGAGGGACGGGCGGGCGTGCGGTCGCGGAAGCTGGGGGCTAGAGTTTGCAAAAATCCTGCCACTTGTTCACTTTTCCCTTTAATGGAAATCCTCAGATCTCGGTGAAAGTAACTCAGAGACTAACCGCGCAGTTTCTTATGGGGAGGGCGGGGGGTTGACAGTTCGAGCCAAATGCGTCTTTCAGTGCTTGCCCCTTGTTTGATGCTCCCCTTTTGAAAGTGAGGTCACATTCAAAAATTTCTCTGAGGATTGTTTTCCTTGAGCTGCCTTTTCGTGAGAAGGAGTGGACTGTGCACTTGGTGGAAAATGCGGCAGCGCATTGATTGGCGTACGTTCCCTGGCGGTCTAAGACTAGGCTTTTTATGCCCACGCCCCTCTTTGCACCCAAGGTGGTAGGGATTGGCTTTTATTGGAGCATTTCAAACGACTTTGCAAAAAGGTAGGCCTGCCTTCGTTTGGCGGGAAGGATACCCTAAGGTGCTCCCAGGGTAAGGCACGCGCGTTCTAGTCGCAGATGCGAGGCTTTTGCCCGCGGCTCGGACTCTCTGGCCCGTCCTTGTCTTCGACTTCGCTGTCTTGCGGTTAGGGGGCTGCTGAGAGTTTTAGGGGCCTCTCAGCAACATGACCACGAGTCTGTTTCCAATTACTAAAAAGAAAGGGAGACAATGGTGTAAACCAGCTTTGAGACCTGGAAACCTGCCTTGCCCGCTCTTACCCCCATACTTGGGGTGGGGGGGCGTATCCCAAGGCTGAGCGATGTAAGAAGCTAAATGGGGAAGAGTTGGGTACATGATGTGGCTAAAATTCTAGTGAGTGGAACTTTAACTAAAAGGTATTTTGAGATTTTTAATAAATGGGGCATATTGTGTAAATCTCCAGTTTTTGTCTACTTCTCTAAATACACCACACAGCAGAAAATCTTCAGTGTTGCCCCATTTATAATTTTGTTTAAAGAACAGTTAGACTGAGCTATTTCCACACGATTGGTGAGTGAATAATGCTGTTTTAGCCAAACGGTGGTGAGTTCTTCCATGAGAAAGACACATCTTTGACAAGCAGTCATCCTACGTTGGAATATACATAACAGGTTTTGGGTGTTAATAACCCCCACGTTCTCATTATTTTACTTTCAAGGGACTTATGGAAAGACTTTATTTAAAGAGAAATACATTTTATTTGAAGATTTGCATTCTCAGAGACCTTTTCCTTGAAATATTAAAAGAATCATTTTAGATAATACATTTCACTGTTGGAGTTGTTTTTAAATATTCATGATATTGATTTGTCTATAATTGCATCAATCCCAAATATCAATTATAAATGAAAAATTAAAGGAGCAATTTTAGCCAGCCTGTACAAGTCCACAGTAAATTCTTAAACAAGTTCGGTATGTGGTTTTGCAGTGTTCTCATTAAGTGGGGTTGCGGAAGGGGTTATAGTATTCATTTTGCTAACATGAAGAATGAAAAGGAAGCAAGCAGTGTCCCTCTTTCCTAAGTTAAACTGAGTGATGACTGGAGCATGCTTGTTCCATCGATAGGACTTTTTGAAATAATATGATTCATGGGCAACTAAGCTTTGTCTTTTGGCAACCTGTGTTCCTTGAAATCTTCATCTAGAGACTGGGCCCGGTATGTCGGTTTGTGGTCAGTTCATCCCCTAATCAGCTGCAGGACTGTGGAGAAGAAACTTGGATGCCGCAAATATGCCTGTGCATGCTGGGCCAGCTGGGGCAACTGACACTTCTCCCTGGCTTACTCAAGCTTTACTTTAATTTACTGGCACACACTGGTAATTGGGTTTAAACAGAGAAATTAGAATGGTATATTTTGAGACAGGAGCCTTCTGAATTCCCTATAATGTACTATCTAGAGAAAAGAAAGAGTAATTTTAAAATTGGAAGACCTTTAACTGTGTGCATAAAGATGGTTGGTTTTCGAGGGCATCCCATCCTTCTTGACAGAGGGAGAAGGCTGGGCACCTTTTCAAGGTCATATTTTCTCAGTGATTATCATGCTGTAATAATTATACTACAAAACTCTCATCAAACTGCATTACAAATGATGGTATTTAAACAATCAAGTAGCTTTAATCTTATGTTTTAAATAAATAATATATGTGCAGATTGTCTACAGCCTGTTTAAAAGAAAATAATCCTACTCATGTAATCTTTTAGTCTTCTATTTAAAGTCTGTTAACCATAATCTTTTTTACCTTTAACATATTCATATGTTGATGATGTTTTTACATGAAATGATATTAAGTACTCCGTTTCCATAGAAAATTATCTCTGAAAAAAAAAAAATCCCCTTTTTATCCTCTGCAAAGAAACAAGATTGCCAGATTGTTTATTTTATCGTTGATGCATGTATGGGTATATTTCCATTCGTTTGTTGCTGACTATCAAATTTTCAACTCAACCAGTGGCTTAAGTCACTACAAAAACTAGATGTTCTATATTGTATACATTCTAGACATAATAGAAAAATGTTTGGATGCTGGTCATAGAAATTATTCATCTTTAAAATCTATTACTTTTCTATTTGAAATGAGTATGACAGTTTCTGAAGGTCACTTGTTATTTTCTCTTTCTTTTAGCTGTGAGTTACTGCTTATGCATTTTCTCATTTGACTTTTTTTTTTAAATGAGAGTTTTCTTAAACCTGAGAATGTAGGGTCCAGAAGAATTTTCCCAGCATTGCTTTATAACTTTTCCCCTCAGCCCTTTACCAAAGAAAAGAGCAGGATGGGCGTGGAATATGGAGAAGAGAAAGCAAAGAAAGAAAAAAAAAAAATCAGTAGCAGATCCATGCAGCAGTAAAACCTCAAGTAAAATCACATCCAAAGAATCTCTTGCGGTTTCACACAATATGGTAAAATTAGAGATTGCAGGAAACCAACTAAATTAAACTGAAAGCATTTGAAGAGAAACGAGTAGAGTTTATGAAAATGACACGTTGACTGACCAGTATACTATTTTATCAACAATTTCTTTGTTAAGATGCAGATCAAAGGAACCTGCATATGTTTTAATTTTGTTCTAACTAGAAAATTACATCCAGATGTTTAATAGGCATTTGGTTGGTTTTTCAGCATTGATTAGATATGTTGGTTCTGTTTGCTTACAAGTGTAGCCGGATCATTAGCTAATGCAAAGAAATGTTTGCTGTGAGTTGCTAATTAGGGCTTTTGGAAACCCTCCATGCTCAAGAACAATTTGTACAGTGGCCAGATGAACTTGAGGGACTTGAGGAAGTTGTTTTCCCTTCTCTGTCAGGGTGGGGAGAAGCAGACAGCCCCATTCCCTAATCTCCCTTTGCCTACGGGGATTGGGATGCTATCCCTGAGGATTAGAGTGCAAATAAATTAAGAAGAGACCACACAGGCACTCCCAAACACAGAGATAAATGTGCCTTTTCTGGAACCACCACCATGTTGTCTTGGGTGTGTGTGTGGTGGGGGGCAGGAAGCGAACATCTAAAATGCTGAATAGTAACATGAGGAAGATGCTCAGTGCTAATGTTATCAAATACACAGCCTTTTTAAGTATA